TATCGCTCTGCTGCTCTTCCCTGCTCCTGCTCCTGCTCCTGCTCCTGCTCCTGCTCCTGCTCCTGCTCCTGCTCCTGCTCCTGCTCCTGCTCCTGTTCCTGCTCCTGCTCCTCCTCATCCTGCTCCTGCTCCTTCTCCTCTCCCTGTTCCACCTCTGCTCTCATCTCTATCCTCCTCCAAATCTACATGACAATATTCTGCTCCACACCCCATCTCTCTTCCATCCCCTAACTTCTCCAACTCCCTACTCGATCTCACAGCAAGCACGCACACTCTCCAGCTTGTTGTTTGCACAGCCCTCAAAGTTGTTGTCGGGCAATCTTTATACTATCCTCACTGAAGGCTTGTTACACCAGTGTGCAGTCTATTGACCACTCACCTTTTAACTGTATCAGTCGCCGCTGTCCTAAAGGTGAAGCATTTCGGCTTTGTGTTTAGACTTCTCTCACTCTCTACCACTTACCTTCTTAACGCAGCTTATCTCCGACTGAGAGGTGGCACTGATGGGGTTTCTGGATTCGAGCCCAACCCCTCACCTTCGATACCGTGAGCCCGTCAAGTTTTGAGTGGGAACGATGTTTGATCAGCGGCTTTGATTGATGGCAGATCGTACACTTCTCCTGCGTCTCAGCAAGTTGATTGGGACACGCCGTCAGGTATCGTGTGCCCTTGAGGCAAGCACACTGATCTCAAAACAGCGCAATCCTACAACATCCCACCAGCACCAGTTGCAGAGATGGATCCTCCTCCTGCTTTCAGGTCTTTATACATGTAGATGAGGCTGGCACATATCTGTTTCCTTTTCTCGTCCCCTTCAAACTCTGTCTGACTGGCACCTACAATCGCAGCAGTCCACCCAAAGCACCCGTTCCGAGTTTCTCCCCTCCTGTGGCAGCTCCTTCCTTCTCAGCCCCTCCAGCTCCTGCCCCAGCTCCTACTCAATCATCAGGTCTGTCTTTCTGTGAGCATCAGGCAGTCTTCTGCTCATCTTCTTCTTGCCAAAGTGTCTTGGGATGAGACGTCGGTGAGCGGATTCCGTCGCTTCATAGATGTAAGCATTTGCATGAATACCCTACTTGATGATGTTGGCGTTGAGTATGGCATCCTTGACAAGCATTGTTGCTGCCTTGTAACCATTGGGTGTCAGATGTTTGGCTGGCAAAACATCAGCCCCTTTCTGTACTTTGCCATGGGCGCCTTCTGGGCTTCCATTATGGCGATTTGGCACAACACAAGTAAGATGCTGATGTTTCATGACCTTGCCTGCTAGTGACTCGTGAACAGCTCCAGATGAAGATCTTGATATGAAAGCTGTCTGATCAAACCTTTGATTGATGAGAACCGTGGAGCATGTGAAGGGATCATATGCTTGTGTGGTGTTGCATTTCAGATCATCTCTTTGCTGAGCTATGCTGATGCTCCGTGTCAACGGCTTTTTGGACATTTCAAAGAATCAAACCTCAAGCTGGTGTAACGTTCATGGTTACGTAGTTGACACAGATTGAGACTTGATATATTCAAAATACACTCATATGTTCATCTTGTGTCGACATGCTTTGAAGGTTTTCCCTGCTCACTGTGACGATGAGAGGGAGATAGATTGATTGGACAAGGATCGACTTGGAACAAGGTTTCTCATGGATCCCACCTGCTTCAAGTCAGCTTCATGCATGAAAGGAAGAAGAAGTTACCCCTCTCATCTTGAACAAGAGCCTCCATGTAGGCAGCGCTTTCTTGTATGACTCTTTCTCTCTCAAATGTCGTGCCTCCTGCTCCACCGGTTCAAGTCGGCCAAAATTTTCAGAAGGAAAGGGTAAAGGTCAAGAAAGTAGAAAGGGGGCCAAGGAGTGAAGCACTGAATCTTGAAAGGAACCTCAATCTTCTGCTTCTCCATATGCTCGGCGTACTTTTCCTGTTTGCAGCACATCAGCTTCAGAGCTACTTGGGTCAAAGAAGCACTGACTTGAAATGTCGAGCTGATCACAGAGATCGGCAAAGCAACCATAACAACCCCAGCAACGCACGCCATGCTGAGAGGAAGAGTTAGCAATACATGGAGTTTGTTGCAAACTATCTTCACCTCCCAAACAATCTTCCAGTGTCAGTGACAGGAGTCATGTCCCCGTAACCGATAGTGCAGAGGGTTATGACAGCCCACCACATACTGCAGGCGAGATGAGCTTCAAAAGTATCCCCTCCTCTCCCTATAGCTCACCTGTGAGGGATCGACAGAAATGGCTCTCCGTATGGATTCGCAGCATTGTCCTCTGCGAGAATGTTTCATGCATAGAAGGCAAAACTAAGGGATGTACCAGCATAAAAAACAATTGCTGCAAACAAGATGACCAATATGATGAAGCAAAAAAGGGCCTTTCGAAGCACATCCTCAGTTTCATGAACACGACAGATCCAAGCATTGGACCTGGCTAAGTTCATTCCTTGCTGCAATGGCTGTCTTGCCGAGAACCTGATGATAGGAATCAAAGATGTGCAAACATAGAAAGTTTTTGAGGATTACTTGAAGCCCGTCTGAGTGCCTTGCAAGCTTGAAGACTCGGAGAATCCTCAGCACTGCATCGATCCAGTATCAGGCGGACAACTGTGAGAGTTTGCATGCAAAACCTTTCAAGACCTTTGATGCTTCTGCTGCTGGGAAAATCAAGGTGATCCAGGTTGGAAGGATGGACAAGAGATCGATTATGTTCAGTGGGCGAAACACGAACTTCCTCTTGTTCTGGTTCACTAAGAGCCGTGAGAGATACTCAAAAGTGAAGGCTGAGACGAAACCGACGTCCACAAACTCGAAGGTTGACTGCAGCTGGTCGTTCTTTGCCAACTGCGGAAGAGTCTCGACGCACAAGACCACCACAGACGCCACGACCAGGATCAAGGACGTCATCGAGATGAACCAGGCAAGAGTGCTCGACTTGGGCTCTTCCAGCAACGCATACAAAGTTGCCCGGAACCCAGCAGAAGGTCTTCCATCTTCCTCGCTGTTGAAAGATTGTCGGTACAGGGCCAAGAATCCATCCAAACCCGGGATGGGCGGATCTGCCTCGTGCATCTTGAAGTACAAGAGCTCATTCTGCCAGACTTCTGAAGCAATGTGAGGAGGTTTGACTGGAATGAAACCATCGCGGTAGGAGTTGACGATCTCGACAGCAGCAAACGGATGCCGATCAAGAAATATGAAACCTTTGCGGAATAGATCGTGATTGGGATTCCTGATCATATCTGAAAGCAATGTTCCCGGATAGCGACGCAGGTACTTCTCATACGTTATGCATACCATCCCCCCGCTGTTGATGCAAATCTTCCTCCCTAATCCTCCGTTCGCCATCATCTTTCGCGCCACCTCCGAGATCATAGTATCCCAATTCTCTTTCGCTCGAAGTTCCTTTTGAAGTTGCGCGTGGGCCGCAGGATCAGATTCAGCTGCCTGGTCTGTTCGCATTCCACGATGCCTTTCAGCTCTGTGGGCTGAATGGCTATCGACATGTTCATAATGACTCATCGGCGCTCCCCACACCAGCGTCTTCTCATAAGAAGAGGTGGTCGAGCAACTTGCCTCACTCGCTCCGTGACTTGACATGCGAGCGAAAGACTCAACGTCACTGACGTGCACATCTTTTGCTGAAAGGGAGATGGCCTGCGGGAATCCCATGCTGTTTGGATCCTCCGTCGAATCTATCGCGGGGACTGTTGGCAAAAAGCGCCGGAGGGAGCCGCTTGATTGCCATCCATGGTCGATCAGCTGCTGGAATGTTTCATTCTTCGGTGCTCCTGCTCCCTCAGGAGGATCACTCGATTCTCTTTGGTCTGTCATTTCTCCCTTGCTATTCGCTCTGCGACGAGCGTCAGCTTCAAAATAACGTGAATAGAAACCAAGTCAGATCGGGTGAAGTTGATGCCATTGCCAAGATAGAATCGGAAATGAATTTGTACACAATCAAGAATTATGATATGCATTGCTGACTCGACAAGCACATGGAGCTAAAACTGCAGAACCAAATTCAAACACGCAGCAGAGGAGGACGCAGGGGTGGATAAGGAGAAGCAGTGATGAATGACATGGAGAAGGAAGAAGAGACAAGATGCATGACATGGAGAGGGAAGAAGAGACAAGAAACAAGAAGAGCAGAAACAGATGAAACAGACAGCGAGAGGATGGAGATTCAAGCGGCAAGTTGCGGGGGCAGCAGCACAGCGTTGAGCATCACGACTAGTCGGTGGTTGCATTTTGGGGACCCCGTTGCTGACCCCGTTGGGTTTTGAGGGGACCAGTGAGGGGACGAGGGTTCTAGGTCAGTTGGGGGATGGGGGACGCGAGTGTGGGATCGGGGAGGTTACGTGGTGATGTGTGCAGAAGCGCAATGAAGGGAAGAAGGAGTGAGAAGAAGGAGGGAGGGAGAAGACAGACAGACAGACAGACAGACAGACAGACAGACAGACAGACAGACAGACAGACAGACAGACAGACAGACAGACAGACAGACAGACAGACAGACAGACAGACAGACAGACAGAAAGAAAGAAAGAAAGAAAGAAAGAAAGAAAGAAAGACAGACAGACAGACAGACAGACAGACAGACAGACAGACAGACAGACAGACAGACAGACAGACAGACAGACAGACAGACAGACAGAAAGACAGAAAGACAGACAGACAGACAGACAGACAGACAGGGATCGGGAGATGGAGAGGGGAAGAGGATCAGGCAGGGAGAGATGGACAGGAGGCAATGAAGTTCTCTCAAACTATTATGCATTGACTCTTTTCAAACAGAACAATTATTTTACATGCAATGAATCAGAATATCCATAATTCTTCTATCCACCCGAGCCATATCAAGTGAGTGTGAATTGTGGGATGTGCAAATTTCCTGATCATATACTTATTCTCTGTCGATTGCATTTGGATCCTACAGTCGGCGTCATGGCGATATTCACATCGAAGTGCATCGCAGTGATCGTATGATGCACAAAAAGATAAATCCAGAGGAAGAGAGAAGAGCGATGATTGTACAACATTCGCTCCCGTGTAAACCACCTGACTAGATTCATACAGATCTTCTTCACGCTGTTCACCCTCATGATTTTTGCGCAATTGATGCTTGTATATTGGAAGAAAAGGCATTATCGAAGCTATCAGCAGGTTCAAGTTGCGATGTACAAAGTTGAGACAAACATTCTCACCCATCTTTGTATACGCAGGTTACTTTGTTAGGATTATGGTTGATTCCGTAAGTGCACCTTGTTGCTATCTGCGATCATTTAAACCTTTCACAGCTTCCTCTTTGCCTCTTCTCTGCATTTTTGGAAACTCTTGACGTACATCTCTTTCTTCGTCGCTCTTCGAAATTTTAACATGTCTTCAGTTGTTGGGCTATTTGGACACTATCGTCAGCATATATCATGTGTGCTTTGAGGCAACAGCTTAGAGTCAGGGTTTTGATTTCTGCTCTATCAAGGTACAAAGCTACAAGGCGACCGATTCCTGATCGAACACCTCGGCTTGTTTATTCGTATTTCTATTATGCTTTCAAGGTGAGATGTTTCTAAAGTTTTCTACCCTCACCGAACACAGCTCTGCTACTCCTCGGGTGTTGTGGGATATTTGCTCATCTTATCGGAGTTCCTCCAAGTGAAATATGCTCCCTCTCAACTCCTCAACCACTCATGCTCCTTCGTACCGCAGATTCCAGCGATTTTCGGGGTGGAAGTGCAGGTGGTGTATGTGGGGGGCATGTTGTTTTTCTTCGGGCTTTACTTCGGAGTGCTGTCCCGAGACTGCTCGGAGATGTGCACCGACCGGATGGCTGCCAGCATGGGGTACGGCAGGAAGGGCAGCATGCCCTCCCGGGGTTACGACCCCACCGTCTGTCTGCTATGCGGAGATGCGCTCAACTACAACTGGGCTCTGATGAACTCGTCGATCCAGGTGGAGTACGAGGAACTGTTCTGATAGGACTGAGAGTGTCAACAGAGCCAGAGGATCAACGCGACAGAAACGGCTGAGAGGACTGTCAATCTGAGTTGTGGACACTCCTTTCATGATTTCTGCATTCGAGGATGGACTATCATTGGCAAGAAAGATATCTGCCCGTTCTGCAGCGAGAAAGTCTCACTTCGAGCCATGTTTCGAAATCCATGGGAAACCCAAAACTTGATGTGGGCGAACCTACTGGATGCAGTCCGATATCTCATCGTATGGAACCCGGTGATTGTTGGTATGACTCAACTGTCATTGTACGAGCTCGGCTACCTTGAAAATCCAAAATAGAAAATCAAAGAATAATATCATATTGTTTTTGTCCCAATTTTGAGCATATATTTCTTGTTTGTAATGGACTGTGTGGTCTTAATAGTAAAATTCGGATACAATAATATACATCACACCTTGTTTGAGCTCACTTCACCCAACAAACCAGGACCTCAGGTTGTAACCCAACAATATCAAAGGCAGGCAGTAGACGAGGAACTTGATTGTCGACAATGAATTTGAACTACTCGTGCAATCGCCTCTCTTGTATCTAGTGTTGTAGGCGCAATCCCAGCTAGCATCGTGCGTCAACACCTCAAGATTTCAAAGGTCGGAGCTGACCTCTGGTATGCGAAGGTCGAAGCAGCAGCTTTAGGGTCACAAGTGTAGCCAGCCAACACCTCCGCTTCCGTCAGGCATCTGCCATCCAACTCAGCACATCCTCGCCCTCTGCAAGATCGCCGTCCTCACGTGTCACAGCGAGACCCAACTTTGGTGAAGTCAGATAATTTGATCTGCCCAGGCTCAAACTCGAAGTACCTGCGATAGTCCATTCAGCATATGACCGTTAAAGAAGGATTGAAGCATCACCGCCCATCCACAAAGCCTTGGAGTCGGCGAGAAGGACCTCTAACAATCCGTTGCAACATGCTTTCCAAGTACATCGCTCTCTATTACAGCGTAAGAGTGTGATCTAACCAACCACAGCTTTACCCTTGTTGCTGAGATTGCTACCGAATAATTCTGCATGGGGTATGTCCCATTTTGACATGCAGCCTTCGAAAAGCAGTTACAACTGAAACTTGTGAATGGGGATTTGATGACCAACCTGCACCACTTGACCACGGGAGTCAAGCACAGGATTTCCGAACTTGTCGAGGAGAGTAACATTTGAACCCTGCCCTCATTCAGCTTGATCCCATGAGATTCTTTCCCACGCACCTCTTGGCAACCGTTTGGTTTTGAACATTTCGAATACATGTTTTGACAAGTCCTGTAACATATCTGGAGAAATTCATACAGGTCGTGGACACATCTTGGGAAGAAATACGCACAGATCTATGGAAAAAGTCAAATTACAAACACATCTTTCTTGAAATTTTGATTGTCTTTCGGTACCACATTAATTATTGCGTCATTGCATCCCTCCAAGTCGCTGCTCTTATAGCCAGTTATGGCAAGCACTTGTTCTGTACACCTTGTTATCACATCTCTCTAACCAGCGAAAGGTTGCAGCATTACTCTCTGCTTCAAGGAAGGCAGCTTGCGCATCTGAGCAGGACGATAACTGGAAAAGAGACAAACAAATCAGATGGTGACGAGGTGGTTCGCAGCTGAGAGTACCACACTACAGGACGACTTGGACCGATAGCTGAATCGTCCTTTGCACAGACACGAATCGAGACTTGGACACTTTGAGGTATGAGACAGCAGTACATGCGGGGACCAAACTCACCGAACTTTGGTTTGATATGCTGCATCCCGGACCAAAACAATCAGCCTGCTTACACCAGGATGACGACCAGTCTACGTTCTTGCCTGGCAAGTTTTTCAATACGATAGTGAAGATTGGAGCCAATAGCTGGACTCACAGCAGAAGTATGTCTTTGCTTGTCCTTTGGGCAATGGATCAACGCTGGTTTGGCAGGTCACTTGTTGGGAAGTTGCCTGTGTTGTTTGTCCGCGAATGGGTCTCGGAAGAGCGCAGAGAATGAAGAACAAACATATCTTGCAGTCACGAGGCATTACCCGCATCGCTGTTTCTGAATCTCTTCTGCTGTCTATTGCCGGGACCGTGACTAGGGAGCAGGAACTTGGAGTCGGGAGCCTCACTGAGTCAGGAGGAACGGCTCAGTCAGTCAGCCAGTCAGTCAGTCAGTCGGCCGTCGGGGGTCTCAACAGCTTCTACTGTCTTTCTCCACCTCAGCCTCAACTGATCCATTGCGGCGATGACGGGTCTCCCCTGGGTGCTGCATCGAACGCCTGACCTACTGGTTTTCACTTTACTCAAAGTTAAGTTAAACTACTGGTACTTCAGTTACTACCGTACAGCCACGGTTTCACCGGCACGGTGAACTGAGTTCCCGGCCCGGCGGGCCGAACGGTCCGATCGGAAGGCAAGTTGAGAGACGCCGGTCAGGCCGCCTGAGACTGGGCAATCATCAATTTCCAATCAACAAATTTTATAATAGGAATAATAGGATTACCGCCGTACACTGACAGGCGTCAAGTTCATGACGCCGGCCCGACTCCGGCCGCCGGGGCGAAAGCCTGAAAGATCCTGCCAGGGCCGGAAACTTCGTTTACAACTCGTGACCGTCGGATCACATGCCCGCTGACTCCGAGACTCGGACAATCGGATCTGGCCGTGCGTCATGCCATGGCCGCGCACCCAGTCACTGACTGAGTACACCGGTCCGACCGGTCACTGAGTCAAGCCTGACGGTCGGGCCGGCCCACGGTGAGGCTGACTCTGTGAGAGTATCGAGACCCCGTATCATCTACCACGAAATGATTACTCAATAATACTCCCCCATTTTCACTACCTACCCTGGCATATTGTTGCTATCTCTTGAAATTTCACCCCATTTAGAACCACCGACTACCCCCGTGTTTCTCTCTACCCCTCACACTTTGTGCACGACCTACCCCTGTACACTCAATACTGTCATTTCGGGATCTATGTCGCCCTGCACATCGTTGCTTCTTCATGGTCATTGTTGTAGTCATCATGGTCATCGATGGTCATGAACAAGATTGTGAAAACGATTATGAACATGCTTATGAACATGATTATGAACATGCTTATGAACATGATAATATGATTACGAATATGATTGTACTTGGCGCATCGGCAACGTGATGCTGATTGACTTTTCCACCATTCATTCCCGTAGATATATGATTCCCAATTTTGAATTATCATTCTTTCATCATTCATCTCTCTCCAATGCAAAAGTGAAATATACTTGTTCCTCAAGTTTTTTCTTGAATGCACATCAATTGAACCTCCACACGTTGACATTCCTTCTAGTGTGACCAGTGGAATTGTGATTTAGAAACACTGCTCTTGCCCTTCATACTGGATGGATCAATGTTGCTCCTGTTGCCCTACTTGTTCATCCTACCTGTGCGTCTGATGGTATTTCTGTTGTCTTCTGGTGAGTTTGGTAAACGGGGAGCAATTTCAGAAGGATCTATTGTGATGCCACTGACTTGTCGTTGACAGACTTGTGTTGAGTTCATTGCTCGGGCAACCATGCCCTTGTTCGCATGGACGGCGTCGGCGGCAGCAACTGAGTTTGTAGATGAGACTGGAACAGGATTTTCTGAGCTGGGAGGTGACAAGACAGGTGACACATGGTTGACATCATTTTCGAGGCGCTTCTCTCAGCTTGTCAATGGGCATTTTCGGAGTCACCCAGATCCTCATAAGTCAGATAGGATGAGGATTGCGACTGACTTACTAGAAGAAAATGTCGGTGATGTCAAGATATCAGAATGGCAAGCAACCATGATATTGTTCAAGAGCTCGTTCGGAATTGGCATGTTGAGTCTACCCTACGCGTTTTCAAAGTCGGGCATGGTTCCAGGGATGATTGCAATCTGCATCATCGCCAAAATTACCAATTTCTCTACTAAGCTTCTGGTCTGGAACAAGAGAAAATTGCAGAGTGGAACCAACAGCGTGCTTGGGATCCCAGACATCGCCTACCTGTGCTGGGGTTGGCCTGGCCTGGCGGTCGCAAGCGCTGTCATCATCTGTTGTCAGGTGGGAAACTGCATCGCGTACACTATCTTCCTCGCTCTCACCACCTCCTCGCTGCTGGAGGAGTCAAGTGCTGGCTTTGGCATCCTGCAGGAGAGCGAATCACCTTTCATCCCCCTCGCACTGTGCTGGGCGGTGCTTTTCTCTTTCCTGGTGCAGATGAAGGAGCTCAAGACTTATGCTCCTCTTTTATTCACAGCACAGATAGCTCACATCACAGCCGTTATCACAATCATCTTTTACGGCCTTTTACATGATCACGTGTGCGGGGAGGTAGAAGTGAAAGTATTCTGCAGCGTCAGAGTTGGAACGCATTGGGAGACGTTTCCAATCTTCCTGGGGATTGCAGTCTTTGCTGTAGAGGGCATTCCCATGGTTCTAGCGATCGAAAATTCAATGGCAACCCCAGAACGGTTTGAGACTGCATTCGATAGAGCACAGATTTGTCTAGTTTCTTGCTTCCTGGCATTCGGCGTGATGGGATATTGGCTTTATGGTGATAACACGAAGAGTGTGATTGTTTTGAACGTGTTGGGAACAACCGGGCTCATGGTAAAGGCGCTGCTCTGCCTGGTCATATCTCTGTCTTACCCCCTCCAATTCATGCCAGCTGGGGAAGTGTTGAAGGCTATCTCGGAGAGCTCTATCTCGAGGAGCATTTACGACGCCGTTACCCTACGCTACTTCCACGACATGTCGTATCTGGAGTGGAAAGAAAAGTTCTGGATGGTCTTGAAGGTTTGCGCTGTCCTTGGCGGTGCCTGGGTTGCTATTATTTTCCCCCATTTTGGTCACTTCCTTTCCATATTGGGCTCCATAACGTTTTCTCTCATCACCTTCTTCCTCCCTCCTCTGTTCTACTTGCAGACCTTCCACTGGCAAGTCAGCAATCGCATGTTGGCAGCTTGTCTGCTTACCTCATGCTTTGGTGTCGCTGTCACATGCGTCGGCCTCTGGAGCAACCTGCTGGCAACAAGTCACCTGCAGGGGATCGAGCATTCTCCTCCAAACCCGACAAGTCCCGAATTCCAGCAGGCACGGAAAGTCTACAAGGTTGCAGAAGGACAGATAGCTCGACAAATCCCCAAGGATATGAAGCATGCATTGATCAAGTACGCCAAGCAAGCTGGGAACAAAGCCATCAAGCACATGATTGAGGACCATGATATCTCAGGAACAGTCAAGCAGAAGATGGTTTCGAACAAGTCGATGGCGCATGCTGAGGCGGAGCCTCCTTCAGGCACTGCCAACAACTCGGAAGAAGCTGGAGTCCAACCTGCTCATGCGCTGCACATGGCGCAAGAGGCCCATGCACCTCCCAGGATCATCAACTTTCCATCTCACAGCAGCAACGGCAGCACGAAGGAGACGGAAGAGACCGGCGGCCAGCGAGTGGTCTATCGTCCGATTGGGTTGAAGCATTAGGAAATTCTTCTGTAAAGCGAAAAATGCAAACAGACAGGCCAAAGAAACTTTAATATCTATGACTGTGGAGGATTAAAGTTCGAACAGAACCACGACTTGTTTTGGATGCTCTTGCAGTTCCCCTTGATTCTTTCAATTATTCCATTGATCACATCCTCGCCCTCCTTCACGTTTCCGAGGAGCTTGCTGGCAGCAAACGACTCGATTTTCTCTCCTATACCAAACCAAGACCCTTTGGCAGGAGCTGCTGCGAGCAAGCAAAGTAAGAAGAGACAAGTGGCATGCAGATTAACCGAGAATACGGTCACCTTCCGTTGTTGTTTCTGCTGCATGCCTCGGAAACGCCTCAGCGCTTACATTGATGGTGTAAGCTGTTTGAAAGAAGCTCTCTCGGCTTGAGTGGTACTTGGACAGGCTGGAGCAACCAAGGATGCTGGTAAAGTTGATGTTCGATGTCTTGACATCCATCGATCTCTTCTTCGCGTCCACAACAACCTCTTCCAGCAGATATAAAGGCCTGGGTGGATGCAGGTAGTGAGCCACTCTGACAATACAACCGAAGCATTACTTGGATCCAAAAAAAGGTCTTATATACGACGGCAGTTTCCCTTCCATCGTGAGCAACCTGATACTGCACAGTCGCCCATGGCCGTCAATCTTTCGAGATAGCACCTGCACAGATATGTTTCAACAGAATTGGTCTATACTTGCGCAGTATGATAACCTCGACACTCTTTACAAACTTGTGATTTTCATACTTGTCCCACAGAGCAGTGCTGACAAGCTCGAAGGGATGGAAATACAAGCCATGGTGTTCCAAGGTTCGTGGCATGAGGTCAAGAACGGCTGAAGGAAGACAAGAGAAGCAAGGAGAGGAAACGAGGGAGCAAGGTTTCGTTTTAAGTTTTACACACACATAAAAAGAACTTATGTGAGCTCACATAAAAAGAGACTTCCTTGATTCAGGAAGGACCACCCTAAGGGTCGCCGCGTCTGGGAATTGAACCCAGGTCTCCCGCGTGACAGGCGGGGATACTGACCACTATACTAACACGGCAGTCAGAAGCGCAGGTTGTTGCGCTCGCCTTGCACGTGTGCAGGGCCCTAATCATTATATACTAGACCCCGACTGCACAACGCACGATCATCGGTGTGAGTGTCACTGCGGTGCCAGCGCCCACGTCACACTGCCCGACCAGGCCGGCCCGGGGTGCGACGGCCGGGCCACACGGGGGTCCGTACTACCGTACGGCCGCGGCGCCGGGCAGACTCTCACTCACTGCGGCCTGCCCGTGCCACCGCCGGGCACGTGACTGACCGAATCCGAGTTGGGGACCAGCGACGGCGGCGCGGGAGTCAATCATGGTTGTCAACTTCAGCGCAAAAGGGTCCCAGGGAGACTCACATGGGGGTATGGGTACGGTACGGTACTGTACGGTAGGGTACGGTACGGTAGGGTACGGTATGGTACGGTACGGCGGGATATAGAGGGTGGTATCTTCGGAACCTCCGGGCCTCCGCGCGTCGGACTAAGTGGTAGTAAAAAAAAGAATTGGTCAAAAATTTGTTTCACGTGCTTTAGAGGTCACGAAAAGCATCGTTTTCCCATAAGCTATCTTGATAGGGGTCTAACTGCCGAGTGATATGAGTGGGTAGGGTGGTCAATGTACCTCATGAGCACCCCTTCTCTGAATGGTATATAGACGGGTAGAGAATTCAAAGTTTCAAATTAGCAAACCCGTCAGCACGTGAGCACAAGACCGTAACGTCTTTATCTCAGGTGGTAGGGTAGCGGTAATTGGAGGGGTAGGGTAGAGTGGGAGGCTTTTGGAGAATGATGGGGTAGGCTTACACCCGTTCATCTCTCGAGCCAATAGGGGGTAGTGGTCCTATCCAGAAAGTGGATTTCTAGCAAATGGGGGTGGTGTAGTTGTGTAGATCATTGGGGGTAGGGTTCACGTGGTCAGAAAGGGGTACGGATAAGGGCGAACCAGGCGAGGAGAGTAGGTTGAGGACATTGTTGGCTTGCAGGGAGGCAGGGAGGAACATAGCGGTTTGATGCAGTGCCGTACATGATGTCCTTGATGATATATGAGTTCTATATTATTTGATACGATCAAAGCATTGAGAATGTGATCGACAAGCGTGTAGATGAGAAAATATTCGAGTGAAGATGTTCCAATCTGCCATACACACGCTCCTCCACATAAGAAACCTGCCTAGCACTGAAATTTTCTCCTACCACCATCGATCTCTTTCTCACCATTCTGGCAGATGCAACAACATCTTGGGCTTCGATTTGGGTTGCTACTTTCTGTGTGCATGCAGATGGTCTCAGCATCTGAGACACTAGGGATTCTAGATCAAATCAAAAAGGCTGGCGGTGAAAGAGATGCTACCTTGATGATTTACATTCCCGCCGGATTTGCGATCTTGTTCTCTGTGTATCTCTTCTTCCGCGTCAAGGCAGTATCTATCCTCAAGACGGAGGGAGCATCGGCTGCATCCTTCGAAGAGCTGAAAAACTGTTACGAGACCATCCAAGCTGGAGCCAAGGCGTTCCTTTGGGCTGAGTACCAAGTGTGCACTATCTTCGTGATCCTGTTTGCGGTGCTTGTTTTTATCCTCACTTCGCGTATCCCCACCTTGTCTGCGACGGGAGACTCGTACGAATGGAAGTGGAAGATTGGAGGGCTGACCTGCGCTTCTTTCCTGGTCGGAGCCTTCACTTCCATCCTGTCCGGATATATCGGCATGATGGTTGCAGTGTTTGCAAATGGCAGAACCACAGTTGCTGCTCTCGCCGACGGAGGAGCTGGCTGGACAGCAGCCTTCAACGTTGCCTTCCGCTCGGGAGCGATCATGGGCTTTTCCAACTGTGGTCTGGCTCTCATCATTCTATACGGTCTGTGCCAGATCTACCGCGACGTGTTCACAGACATCATCGATGGCAAGAGGTACATCCAGTACACTCAGCTCTTCGAGTGCGTGTCTGGCTTCGGTCTCGGTGGGTCGGCGATCGCCTTGTTCGGAAGGGTAGGAGGAGGAATCTTCACCAAGGCTGCCGATGTCGGAGCGGACCTCTCTGGGAAAGTGATCGGGTTGGGAGATGGCAAGAAGCTCGACGAAGATTCTCCGTACAACCCTGCGGTCATTGCTGACAACGTCGGTGACAACGTCGGTGATGTTGCGGGAATGGGAAGCGACTTGTTTGGCTCTCTCGGAGAAGCTTCCTGTGCTGCGATGCTGCTGGGTGCAGCAATCGGAGAGATCAGCACGGCTGGATGGTCAGCGCTCATGTATCCGCTCTACATCTCCACCATCGGAATCTGCGCATGTCTTGTGATGCACTTCGTCGCTACTGATATCTGGCCTGTGCGATGCGAAACGGACATCGAGAAGGTCCTCAAGATTCAGCTGCTGGGAACTGCTATAATCATGTCTGGCATCATGTACCCTGTAACCGACGGCTTCCTGCCTAACAGTATGACCATCGACGGCGTCACTCGTCTTGTCACTTCGGACAATGTCTACGGTTGCGTGTTGTTCGGCATCTGGGCTGGCACTATCATCGGCTTCATCACCGAGTACTTCACCTCGCACACCTACAAGCCTACTCGCGATGTAGCCAAGGCTTGCGAGACTGGAGCAGCCACCAACATCATCTATGGCATCGCTCTCGGGTACCTCTCCTCTATCATCCCCGTCGGCCTCATCGCAGGAGCCGTATACTTCTGCTTGAAGACCACTGGCTTGTATGGCGTAGCTTGCGGTGCTCTTGGCATGCTCTCGACCCTCGCAACGTGCCTCACCATCGACGTGTATGGTCCCATCTCTGACAACGCGGGAGGCATCGCTGAGATGGCCGAGTTCCCCCCCAACGTGCGCGACAAGACTGATGCTCTTGATGCTGCCGGAAACACGACGGCAGCCATTGGCAAGGGCTTCGCCATCGGGTCTGCGGCCCTTGTGTCCGTCTCCTTGACCGGCGCATTTGTTGCTCGATGCTCCTTCTCCATGTCGGCAGCCAGCAAGCTCAACGAGCATGGGGTCAACCTCATGTCTGCCGTCGTCTTCGCTTTCCTCATCTTCGGTGCGAACATCCCGTACTGGTTCTCAGCTCTTACCATGAAATCTGTCGGAGAAGCCGCAAACTCGATGGTGCGGGAGGTGGCGAGGCAGTGGGCGGAGATCCCTGGGCTAAAAGACACAGCTTCGCTCGACTTTGACACGCGTGCTGAGAAACGTGCAGCTGGAGAGAAGCTGGCGACGCCCGACTACCAGAGGTGCATCGCCATTGCCACAAACGCCTCGCTGAAGGAGATGATTGCTCCTGCTGCCCTGGTCGTCCTCTCCCCCATCATCGTCGGCTCTCTCTTCGGAGTAGAGGCGGTGGTGGGTCTTTTGGCGGGCGCCATGTCCTCGTCTGTGCAGCTTGCTATTTCCATGTCCAACACAGGAGGAGCATGGGACAACGCAAAGAAGTTCACGGAGAAGGGAGGACTGAACGGATGGTTCATGTTCAGAGATGGATCCAACGTCAATGAGGATGAGTTCAAGAGGAAAGCTGCCGACTACAACGGAGACGAGGTTCTAGTCGTGCCTGATGCGGCCAGGGGAAGCTACTTTCCTCCAAGCATCCCTCCTTCCGTTGTGGCAGCCCCGATGCCGGGCATGGCGATGATGGGAGCCCCGGCCATGAGCGCGCAGTACATCATGCCGATGACTTCGATCCCTGATGGGCAGATGCACGTCGTGATGGGAACTGCGTTCGGAGGGGAGGAGAAGCCTCAAAGGCCCTTCAAGGACTGGCTGAACGAGCTCTCCAAGACCGACCCGGCCAGGCACAAGCGCATCATGCAGGGCGACGAAGGCGTGAGGACGGTAGACGGCAGGACCGTTGTCTATGCAGGCAAGAAATCCAACGTGCATGCTGCTGCGGTTGTGGGCGACACGGTGGGAGATCCTTTCAAGGACACGTCAGGACCAGCTCTCAACATCGTGATGAAGCTGATGGCTATCATCTCGGTTGTCTTTGCTGACTTCTTCATGAGCATCAACCATGGCAATGGAGCCTCGCATGCAGGCAATCTGATCTATTAATTGATAATACGTTGATGAATCTTATGAATTAAAATGATTGAAAGATAAAGTTATCAAAATCTTATCACCATGTCATGTTATGTTCAGGGCTTCTGGTCATGTGTTTGAACATTTCAATTCAGCCAAGTTGACATGATGTCATCCTGTTGGGTCAAAGTCATTCGTGCCTGAACTCGCTGAGATCACACACACCTCAAGGGAGACAAGCTTAACATTCTCTGTCGTTTCTTGATTTGCCTGCAAAAACAAAGTCAAATTGCGCGGTCAGCATACTGATCGTCCGAGTACCTCCGATGCAAGTCTCAGCCAAATCCTCTGAAAATGATCTTTCATGAAGCATTGAGCAAGGTGTCGTGCCTGCAGTGACGTCATCACGTGCGATTGTTTGCGGCTTCTCACCTGAACTTCAGACTCTTCGACGTTGGTGACTGACGAGCACATCTCCTTGACAAAGATCTCACAAAGCTTCGCCACCACCATCGGAGTCTCTGCCGCGACCATCTGGCGTTGTGACGCTTCAGTGCTGACTCATCCACTATTTACAAGCGATACCGAAACTCCTTCGTACTTCTTGATGTGTCGCTTGATGCCAGCAAGAGGAAGTTTGGTGGCCGAGTTGGTAGAGAGGATTGTATCTGACAGCACTTTCACATAAATCAAGGCTCAAAAACACAGCGCATACCGCACACTTGGTACTCATCGATGAGAAAGTTCATGTCCTGGTAGGTCGCAATTTGAGATCATCTCGTCATCTCGGAACAACAGGTCACCTGCAGCTCGTTGGAGGAAGGCCAGGAACTTGTACTAGTGCTCGAGCAGAGGCTTGAGGTGGAGCTGATGCTCAGCGCCCGAGCTCGCCTCTTGTCTTGCGGAGTCACTGGCAGTCCCGTGTTGGTGATCTTTGACAGTGACAGGTATCACTTTGAAAGAAATACCTTGACAGACTTGTGTGTGTGTCCTGTTATCAGGATTGCTGTCGCTTTCATAGCTTGCATCCTCAATCTGAACGGAAAGTTCCGTGGCAGCAGGTTCAAAGACCTATACCGGCGTTACCTTGAACATTTCAGCAACGGTTGGATGTCACCGGACAGGTGTTGGCAGCTTCCACTGTCTTCAACGTATCGACGAGATGCTCAGAACCATCGTATTCTACATCTCCGTCAAGTCACTTGAAAACCCAATAACAAAATTAACACACACCGAATTCCGACGAGAACATTTCTTGCAGAACGAATCTGTTCCATTGTGGCAAGCTGTTTGAAAACATCAACATCAGCATGATTCTGATCTTGAAATGTTTGAAATTCACCCGCAGTCTGCTGACTCTGACAGACAAACTTGCTCCTCGACATTAGGTTTCTGATGCAAGGGTTGAAGACATTCGTTGTCAAAATGCTCAAATTCCAAATCATGGTGGCCAAAAATTATCTCATCGCTGATGGAGCAAACAGCGTCGTTGTCAATGTCTTGATGATCCAGGAACAATGATGCCATCGTTTGCTGCGCAAGAAAAGCATCAAAAAGTATGATAATCCCATGTCAAGCTTTATCTTTTGATATCCTATCGCATCAACTATTTCATTTTAGATCACCATGTCTGATAAGTTCCTTATGTTTTCCCCTCATATCGCTTTATCATGTCTCGTATATCATCTATCTCTTCGTTATGCTCTATGTTCATCGCTGTCCTGTTCTCATCTGCTTTCTAGGTACCTAGTTTGTAATTCTTGTTTTCCTAGTAGGGTCTGACCGCTCACAACTACTCACAACCCTACCCACCTGGTCTCCGGCCCTCTTCAGACACTGAAAAGGGGGGGTGTCAAGGGGTTCAGAGCGGTCAGAAATGCAAATGATGGGTCGCATCTGGGGCCTGCTACCTGTTACCCCCTACACAAGACTGTAAAGTACCCCTACCTCATACAACTAATTGCTGTAATAAGAGTACCCAGCATATTCCACTCATAACAAGGGGCCCGTAGTAGTATACAACTTAGTCGCGGGAGTAGTAGTGGTTGAGTCTCAGTGGAACCGGGGGAACGGCGGCCCGGCCGCCGCCGTCGGCCCCGGATCGGACGGTCGCCGGTTCCACTGCACTGCGGCAGCGAGTTGCCCGGGCGGACAGGTCTGGAAGCCGGGAAGAGGAAAGGCTCTGCCGCGACTGATATACTGAGGGGAGACTAACGCAGACCAAATTCAATTTCATTCTGGTACTAATTTTAAGTCAACTTGCGCTCGAGGTCGAAAAAGCAAATTGAAATCCAACTAAAAGTTCATTATATTTGAATTTCAAACGATGCGTTTGCAATTTCCGAATTTCGTCGCCCCTCCCTGCCATGGAAGGCGGGACGGGCATGTCGCTGGTGGATAACATACCCATCAATGATGGGTCGGATGATTATGAATTTACCTGCAGTGATGGAGAAGAAAGCATTTCCGAATCGTCCAGTGACGCAACTGAGATCTTAGGTCCACCGCTGAAGAAGAGACATCTTCGGAAAGGGAACAGGATCGGCAACTGGACGAAGAGGAATATGAGCAGGAAGAGGCTTGATTGGTACGAGTTTCAAAGAACTTTGAGTGACTATCAATTTCGTATATTCTATCGAATGTCTCGCACTGCATTCTAACATCTTTTGTCTCTCATTCGTAATGATATTACTGGCAAAGAGGAACATGGAAGGAGGGGCAGTCCACATGGGTGTATCACGGCGGAGTTGAAACTGTCCATGATAATCAGATGGCTGGCAGGTGGCTCATATTTAAATATTCATCACTTCCATTGAGTCTCTGATTGTGCGGAAGAATGAAGTACTTGTGGCCATCTCGAATTGTGACCGTCCCTTGCGCATCAGATATCCTGATTTGAAGGACACAAATGCTTTGCAAAGCATCGCCACAGGCTTCAAGATGAAATCTTCTCGTGGCGTTTTTGATAGATGCATCGGTGCCATTGATGGAGTACTGATTAAACTGCATTGTATCAAAGGAATGGAGTCGTACAGAGCTGCACGTTATTTCACTCGCAAGGGATACTATGCATTGAGAACCGTCGATTCCTTTGGTATGGTATACACAACCCGATTAGTACACATGATAGACTTGCTTTCTGCAAAGGAAAACTGGAGGATCTCAACCTCCTCCGTCCTTCTGTGCGTCGGTAGCTGGCGCCTTGGCAGCATCTTCTTGTAACGCGAAGAAAATGAGGGTAAAATTGGATATTGGATGTTATATTTAGCACTCAGAATACAAATATTTATGTTTCAAACCGTTTCACGTAACGAATTATTTCAAGATTTGCGAAATTGAATTTGGTCTGCGTTAGTCTCCCCTGAGTGGTATACGAGATTCACACATGTACACCTCCTCTTGTTGACCTTGATCACAAATAGCCTGCTCGTTGGCAAAAGACGCCTCTGCGCTCTACTTGCTTTTAAATGCAGAAAGTCATAGCAGTCTCAGACTTTCGGAGACGCGGCTTGTGACACCTGTCTGGCGCGGAGCCTGAGGAAGACAAGGGGGCTGAGTTACGTGGTGATCAGTTCAAAGTCCAATCCTCAGACTCATAGTAATTGTTCGCTTTGGTAAATCAGTGTCAAGTTTCTTCGCAATCGCAAGGCCGCACCTTGAAGAAGGGTTTCCAACATGTTGCACATCTCATGATACGTTAGCTTTCCTCCCCACCTGTTCGTTTGTGTCATCACTAGCGCCAAGTTGAGCATCCAAGTGACCTGAACTGCTTTCCATCTGGACTCAAAGTCGGATCAGTCGCAGACGGTCTGCTGATCTCAGCTCCAGAGAAATCAACTGGGATGTACTGACGATACAGACAAGAGTGAGACAAGAAATCATGTCCGCCTCAGCTCTTACTTCTTCTCTGTTGTTCAAAAACTTCTTTAGCTCCTCTTTGAGATTCAAACCCTGCGCATCATCCGAATCAAGGCGATCACCTTGTAGTTTCTGAACCTACCTGCCCAGCTCGATTGAACAGCGCTCTCTTGTATTTCTCGATACAGCTCCTCATGTAAAGAAGTTTTGCATATGGCAGCCCAGCCTGCCACCCGCGTCATCACTGGAAGCACGTCGAAGTGCTTTAGGATCGATGACCTGACCCTCGCTCATGTCCGGAGGTAGTTGCGTGACAAACACAATCTTGTGGAGCTGATTCAACATCTGCCCAGTCATCAATCTTCCTTTTCCTCTCTTGCTCTCTCCTGTCCTGTCCTGTCTTGTCCTGTCCTCTCTCCCCCTCACCTGACTTGCGGGATCAATCTCCTTCACGTTGGCTGCTGGCACTGCATCCCTTCACGTCAGGGTACGAGTCAGCATCTCTTTCCTGCTTCACCGCGCAAGCTTGAGGACACGCCAGGCCGGGAGGTTTTTCCTGCAGCATGGCAACATCAGTTTCGACCCTGCAGCTCTGTGAAAGCATTCTGCAATCTGTAACAGAGGAATGGACCAGTCCAAAGGCCTCTGCTGACAGTCGCAATCTACCTTGTCCTGAGACTCTAGGAGTGATCGCTATGTACAAGGAGAGCAGATATCCTCACGATGTTTTCGCCACCTCATCTCTTACCTGGCGTCTGCGGTAGGTGTCGCGGGTTTGCACCTGCAGGACATGGCGGCAGCGGGAAGGGAAGTCATGAGCAGAGAGCCAAGAACGAGGAGAGGCGATACCTGGGGTGTTAGGAAGATTTGCACTTGGCGTGTGCGGGATGATGGGGCCACGGCGGACAGGAGAGGATCGTCTGCCAGGGGAAGTGCCGCCGAAGAAAATACTTGCACCTCGTGTTGTTGACTCACGCTGTGAGAAGATGTCGATGTTGGCTTGAAAACAATCTTGCAGAATAGTTCTTCTACCTGACTTTTGAGCAGCGCTTCATATCTCTCCTTGTCAATCTGAAGATCATACTTCATTACTAAATTCCACAAGATTGATAGGATTTCACGACCATCAACGATTGAACTTGTGTCTCCAGTTGCATATTCCTTGTGTAAAGCTCATCGGTTCTTTCCATGCAATCTCTGCAAGGAAACAATCAAGACTTGTTGCAGTATCAAGGTTTGTAACTTCCTTCTTGTCATACGGTCGTTTCTGTCCCAACAATTAATCTGCATCATGATCTGCAAGCCTTCATCAGCAAACCATGGAAGACACAGACAACCATACCTCGATGATGTCTGGACGAGCTGCTGTGTCTGGATTCATCATCGTTTTTACGAGCTGCGCCAAATCATCACAACTTCAGAAAGGCGAACAACGTCATCACCTCCTTGAGTTCGTCAGAGTATTCCTTCGTCGGGTCATTGATTGGTTCAAACCGTCCTTCCACTATGTTTGCCGCAGTCTGAATATTATGCAAGAATCATTAAATTCACATAAGATGAGCTGGGGATGACCTGTAAAGGATTGTTCTCCGAGAAAGGAGCTTTCAAGCATATCATCTTTGTGAATCAGCAAGTCAGATAATCTTCTAGGTATCCCATCACACGACGATTGGTTGACAGTTCACCTGATACAGAATGACACCCAGTGACCAGATATCCGCCTTCTCCGTGTACGGTCTCCTGCAAGTCTGCAACTTCACAAGAGCCAACGATTTTGTTTTGTCTGCAGGCAGAGCAAATTGACGAGCAACAAGTAGCACAAGCACATCGCAAGGAACAAGCAGCAGAAGAAACGGTATGGGACCTCTCGATGATCTCAGGGCAGGAGTAGGTGAGGGTTCCGACCACAGAGGACATGACGCTGATCTCCGTGTGTTTTTGACTGTCGGCAATGTCAGACTCCGAACATTACATCAAGCGCAATTTTCACAAATCCTCTCACACAAGAGAGGCACATTCTCAACGAGTAAAAGCATCGTTCAGATGACAGAATGCTGTTTACCGAGCCAGGCCGAAGTCGACCAATATCGGTCGTTGTCTTGACAACTACAAACTCCATTACTGTTCTCACAATCAACAGCCAAAAGACGACTTGAGTGAGCGAATCGACTTCTGTGGTGAGAAGGATATTGGATGGTGTCAGGTCTCTGCGGGTATTGGTGAGATTAAGGCAAAGAAATTTCGGCTACCTGTGTGTAATGTTCTTCTTCTTGTGGATGTAGTAGAGCCCATGACATATCTTGCAATGTAAAGATTAATCGAATACAAGAAATAGAAAGACGGGCAAGGTATGTCAGGCAGGTGATAAGACAATGCTGTGTAACGAGACAACAGCGCTGAGGGATGATGTCCATAGAGTGTGAATGCGCTAGGAAAGCCGAGCCAAAAACACAACAAGGTAGATACGGCAAGTTCGATCAAGAGCAACACTTGAACATGATTCAAAGGACCATTACAACGACCATCATGTTGAAAACAAACGAACAAGACCAAACCAATGGTGTGATTGCTGACGAGTGCAAAATCACTGAACATAATGGTTCTCACCTGTATGAGCAAGTCTCTGATATTCCTCTCTGGAATTCTTTGATTCTTCCCCGAATGACTGTAACAAGTGAGTTTGAAGATGTCACAATCGTTTACATTCAGCGCTCGAGCCGTCAAGTTCACCTGTTAATTAGCTCCATCAAACTTGATCCTTCCTGTTTGACTATCAGAGACATCAGTACACAATCTAAGTCCCATCACCACTAGTTCCATCACAATGTACAGCCCTCGATCACTTCCACTGATCGATCTGTCCGTGAACGAGTCGACGTACTTGAAAATTGTCACATGCTCTGATGCATCTTAAAGAGCGTTACCTTGACGATGTTGGGATGACTCATCTGCTGCAAGAGCGACACCTCTCTGTGCGTGTCCTGTGACGTCATCACCTCCTCAATCACCACTACCTTCTCCTCCTCGTTTTTCTCTTCCCACTGCTTCCTCCCCTGTCCCTCACTCCTCCCCTCCTTCATGTCCCCTCCTCTACCCTATCCTCCCATTTCTTCTCCTCCTCCCTCTACTTCCTCTCTGCGCATGTCGCCATGATCTGATCTGCTGTCTCTCACTTTCTCGAGTTGGACATCAGCGTCGATGGGGATTTCCTTGAGCGCGTAGTAGACTGGTCCGTCTGCTCCTCCTCCTCCTGCCAGCCTAGCTCGCCAGATGGTTCCGAAAGCTCCTTTTCCTGTAAGGATAGGTAGTGAAGAGTACAGTGAATGACAACGACCAGAGCAAGGCAGGAGAGGGCAGGAGAGAGCAGTGGAGGAGCGATGGCAAGGAGGAGGCAGGAGGAGCGTACCGATTGAGTCACCCACGAGCAAGTAGTCTCTTATCCTCTTGTCGCTCTCCATGTCCGACCGCATCTCGCCGATGGCCTGAAGAGCAGGAGGTGAGCTGAGCAGGGAGAAAGAGCTTGCGTGCCTTTCGCATGCTCTCTAGCTTGTCGTCAGGAAGATCGAAGAGGACACGAGCAAGTTTGCTGTGGAGAGAGATCACGGAAGGAAGGCGAGGAGGGAGGAAGGGAGGGGCAGGAAAAGAGGAGGTGAGGGGGGAAGGGGTTGGGAGTGAGAGAAGTGAAGGAGTCGAATTCTGTCACCGGCACTTCTCCAGGTCCCGCTGGTATTGTCCAATCTCGATGAACCTCTCAAAGATCGACTGCAGAGATCCAGCGGTCAAGCAGAAAACAGGCAGACGAACGTTGGGAAGGATACAGGAGCAAAGATTCTCCGGAAACTTCGTCGATTCCGCTCCAGCGAGAACAAAAATCGCAGAGCCTGCAAGCAGGAGGTCGGGCGACTTGACAGAGCCAGGAAATCAAAGAAAGCAAAGGAGGAGGAGGGGGAGGAGGCCGGGGGGGGAGGGGGGGCACCTTGACTGCGTGGGCAGCGACCGCGAGGACTTGCGTCTCATGCATCGGGTCTGAAGCTCGTGTTCCATCCTCTCCCGCAGGAACCTTCTTTGCATTCTCGCACTCCATGAGAAGAACTTTGGTGAGGATGAAAATTCCGTTGGACTGTCGAATGTGACAAGAGTTCTCATCATCGAACGCCAGCTCACTGAGGAGCGAGCATCCAGCGATCAAAATGTCGTCCCTCCCCACCATCTTGCTCTGAAAGTCTCCCACCCGTCCGAGAATGTTCAGAACTATGTTGATCCCTCCCAACAGTCTGATCTGCCTCACAGAATCTTGCGTCACCGTCCGCTCAAGCAAGCGGAGGCCATACAGAAGAATGCTGTCCTCAGAGCTCTGAACCATACTGAGGAATATGCGGATCGACTCGAGGTTCACCAGGGTGATCTTGTTCTCCTCGATCTGGCAGAGGTTGTACAGGATGTCCGCAACCAGCTCGCGGTATTCCATCTTCATCTTGTCCGAGTCCAGCAGCTCGAGCAGCTTCTGCCCTGCAGTCAGCCCGTCGCCGGTGGGAAGGAGAAGGATCCCCTGGATGTCCTGAGAGAGGATGGCCGTGCTTCGGCTCAGCTTCTGCAGCGCCATCAGCACGCTCTGCAGCAGGAACCTCTCAGCTGTGGACAAGAGGTAGCACATGGTCTTGCGGCACTGGATGATCCAGTCCGCCTCCAGCTTGCTCAACATGCTGGCGATGTGCGTCAATGGCGGGAGGCTCTGAGCTACTGACGCCTGATCGAGCAGCTCGCTGTAGTGCTTGTTCCCTTCCTCTTCAAAGATAGCAACGAGCTCCTCCCCTCCTCCTCTCATCAAGAATCGTCTCTGAAGAGCTTTATCTCGAGTCAGGATCCGAATGCTCTGCATTACCACCAATCTGTGATTGCCTGACGGCAGCTGTTGCCATCTCCCCTCCAGGAATCTCATCTCCAGCAGATGCTGTAGCAGCTGTAAGAAGACGCTATCTTGGGTGCACGGACGTCTGAGAACACCTGCCATGTCAGGGTTCGAGCTTCGCACTCCCAGGAGGCTACTGAAGTCATACACGCTGTTGTAGTGAGTAATGAACATGTCCAACATCTTCGTTTCTTCCTCCACATTCTCGTTGATCATATCCAACGCGTCGCCGTTCTCTTGTATCACACGAACGATCCTGGACATGAACTCCCTGTGACTCTCGGGCTCCATGGCGAGCTTTGATCAGGGAGAAGGTAGTAAGAGAGTCCAACGAGCGCGAGGGAGGTAGTGAATGGAAGGAAGAAAGGAGGGAGAAGAACAGTAGTAGGAGAGAAGGAGGAGAGGGAGGGAGGAGAGGGAGGGAGGAGAGGGAGGAGAGGGAGGGAGGAGAGGGAGGGAGGAGAGGGAGGGAGGAGAGGGAGGGAGGAGAGGGAGGATCAGCTCGTCATGACGACGACATCGCCTCTTCTTCTCTTCCCTTCATCTTCCTCCGCCTTAGCGACATGTTTCCGGATCAGGTTGAGCGGAAGATGGGTGAGCCAAAATAACTAAACCGCAAATGATGGGTGACCACACGCAGTGTTTACTGATCCTAGCAGCACCGTGTCACACAGACAGTGAGGAAATCAGAGGGACGCAGATAGCAGTGCGCAGATAGCAAGATGCAGAGGACGAACAAGAGGAGGAGAGAGCAGGAGGGACGTGGGGCAGGAGGGAGGGGAGGGAGGAGAGAAGAGCAGGAGGGACGTGGGGGCAGGAGGGAGGGGAGGGAGGAGAGAAGAGCAGGAGGGACGCGGGGCAGGAGGGAGGGGAGGGAGGAGGGAAGTGGAGGGGGGAGGAGGAGTCCAAGGGAAGGGAGAGGCAGGAGGCGATGGTGTATGGGATGGGATGAAGTAGGAGAGATGGTACATGTAGAGAACGAAAAGGCAGGGGAGGGAGGCTACGTAGATGATACGGTATGAGGAGGACTGTGCTAGGTTGAGATAAGGGTAAATGAGGGGGTGAAGTCATGAAAGGAGGCGAGGTGGTTTGGGCATGACCATGATGTTGCTAGTATGTCAATTGCACTATACTGCTTGATTTGATGTGAAACTGTGACGAGGACAAAAAGATGAGAGGTTTTACTGTGCTAGCCCCAGCAGGTAGCTGGTTGTATGCGACTGTTCCAACCTTGAAGCCCAGCACCAACTGATGACGCACAAGATCCTCGAGTTCATCCGCCAAGTTCAAGTTGCCATCAGTCAGCCATCCCTTCTGCGTTACTTCGATCCAGACCCCGTTGATCCTTCAGTGCCGGGCGGCGAACCTGAGCATGTCGAATGTGAGAGACTCTGATGATGGTAATGGCCTTACTTGGAACCTCAGGCTGCTCTCCCGCCTTCTGGATGTACATCATGCTGTGTGTTGGTCTTGTGCTCTTCGCCGCGATCATGGCAGGCCTTACGATGGCGCTGATGAGTTTGGACGCCATGAACATCGCGATCATCGAGGCGAGCGGCACCGACAATGAACGCAAGTATGCAAGCGCCATCAAGCCTCTCATACAGAATAGGCAAGTGATGAGATGCGAACGAGTGCAAATGTGTGTAAGAGCTGGTTGAGCAGGCACCTTCTGCTTGTTACGCTGCTGATTGGAAACGCAACCGCGATGGAAGCTCTACCCATCTTCTTGGATCGACTCGTACCCAACTACATGGCCATCATTCTCTCAGTCACCTTCGTCTTGGCATTTGGAGAGATTCTTCCTCAGGTCTGCTGTAAAGTCGGAGCTGAAAGGCTCACAAGCTGCAGGCTATCTTCACCAAGTTTCGTCTTCCCATCGGAGCTTACTTCAGCTATTTCGTGCTGACCCTGGAGCTCATCTTGTTTCCCATCGCATGGCCGATATCAAAAGTAAGTCTTAATCAGCATGTGCCGACGGCTATGCTGTCACAAGGTTGACAATGAGGTGACGCCTCCGCCTCAGATGCTGGATTACTTCCTTGGGAAAGATCACCCGACCATCTACCGCCGAGCCGAGCTGAAGGAGCTGACAAGACAGGTTGACGCATGCGAGAAAATCAGTTTGAGACGATGAGCGCAAGAGGCCTTGAGAACAGACTAGACATGTGAAGAGCACGAGAGACAGCAAGATCAAAGGTTGAAGAGTACCTAGCAACTGATTTACTTGTAGCATCTCATAACATGCGACGGACATGGAACTTTGACTCACGACGAAGTGAAGGTGAACGAAGTCTCGACCTGACTTCCTGAGTTGTGTTCTCACTTGTTATATACAGGTCATGAGTGGTGTGCTGGACATGGCGAACAAACAAGCCAAAGTTTTTATTTGTGTGCAAATCTCAACAAAGTGACGAACTTCAAGGACGCGATGCATAGCATAGATGGAGTTTTCATGCTGGATGCCGAGGCCGTTCTTGACATGAGTTGCATGAGAGTAAGTGGAAAGAATACCATTGCCAGAAACATTACTTCTCATTCATTGATTGGTTTCATTTTCATAAAACATACATCACGCTCATCTCACGTTTTTTTACATGAACGTTTATCCCTTTCTTATCAATTGTTGACATCATGTTTGAATCCGCAGGAGATCATGTCGTCCGGTCACAGCAGGATTCCCATCTTTGTTGGCTCCAAAGACAATGTGGTAAGCGATCAAGTGTGAAGACACCCTCGTTCCAGCTTTGAGTTTGCTTCTCACAGGTTGGACTCCTGATTGTTAAGAATATCATCCTTGTCGACCCGGAGAACAATACGAAGGTGTCCTGAACTCTCAAGTTCCGCAACTCTTGTCTTCTTCAGCTACTGCCTTTTCTTTTCTTCTAAACCGAGAATTCCCGCAGGTGAAAGACGTGAGCAGATTTGCGATTCGGAAAATTCCCAAAGTGTCCGACAAGGTTGACTCGACAATGCTTTGTAGCGACGACAACGATTTGTGATGGAAATGAGAAGCAGAACATTGAAATCAGCGTGATGATGTGTATGCTGTTGAGGAGATGATGATGATGATGATGATGATGGAGGTGTCGAGGAGCTTGGACTCAAAGATGATAACATGACGATCAGTAATGATTTTCTCAGCTTCCTCTCTTCGAGTTGTTACATTTCTTCGGGCAAGGCCGAGCTCATCTAGCGCTGGTGGGTCTCCTCCTCCTCCTCCTCCTCCTCCTCTTTTCCTTCTTTCTTCCTCCCCTCATCTCTCTCCTCTTCCATCTCTTCCTCTCGTTCTCTTCCGTTCCTCTTCCTTCTCTCCTCCTCTCCTCCTCCTACACCACACCGCCACCATCAGCCTGCCCTTCTTTACCCCTGCTCAGTCCTCACATGCCTGCAGGTATGCCAAGAGGATCCGTCAGGCTCGACGCCCATCGATTCGTGCCCTGTGAGAGGAGAGGAGAGATGGGAGCGAGCTGAGTGCGGGCAGGTGGTCGGCATCATTACCATGGAAGATGTCATCGAAGAGCTGATTCAGGAGGAGATCCTCGATGAGACTGATGTACCCCTGCCTCCTCCTTCTCCTCCTTCTCCTGCTCCTACATCACCACCACCACAACCGCCGCTGCCGCCACCACCACTGTTAACACTGCTTCCTCCTCCTCCTTCCCGACCACGTCTCCCCGATTGCTCCCTATTCTCCATATCTTTCTCGCTGGCATCAAATTGCCAGCTCTGACATCATCCAGTTGGGCCCTGATGCTGCAGCAACGCTTGCGGACAAGTTTATCAAGAAGCAGGTGAGATGAGGGAGGAAGGGGAGGAGGAGGGGGAGGGGTATGAAGAGTGGGAGGAGATGCTAATCAGATTGTTTCCCTTTAGCGTCGAGCAAATCTTTCGGCATCGTCTCTAAATCAAGCTGAAGGTCAAGAAGCTCTTCCTGCCCCTCCTTCCTTCCCCCTGCTCCTCCTCCTGCTCCTGCACCTCCCCCTGCTCCTGCTCCTCCCTCTGCTCTCTCTCTCTCTCTCTCTGCCTTTGTCGATCTGCCTGCCTGCCTGCCTGCCTGTCTCTCTCTCTCTCTCTCTCTCTCTCTCTCTCTCTCTCTCTCTCTCTCTCTCTCTCTCTCTCTCTCTCTCTCTCTCTCTCTCTCTCTCTCTCTCTCTCTCTCTCTGTTCTCCTGTTCCTCATTCATTCACTCGCTTTTCCTCCACAGGTGCAGCGACACGAGACTCGCACTCAGTTGACGTTTGTTCCTCTTGCTCCTTGACGGCAGGGCCTGACCGCGTCTTTCCTCGCAGATCTCTCCCGACCGAGCATGGCGAACTGCCGCGCTCGCTGCTCTCATGAAGCGAGGCAGGTCAGCAGAGTCTCAGCCAGACCGAACCAACGGACAGAGAGGACGAGGATCGTTGCCGGTAACACCCGCTAACCAACTTGCCCCTGCCCCTGCCCCTGCCCCTGCCCCTGCCCCTGTGCCCCTGCCCCTGCCCCTGCCCCTGCCCCTGCCCCTGCCCCTGTGCCCCTGCCCCGCCCCTTCCCCTGCCTCTCAGAAATGCTCTCTGACGTTGAGAGTAGAACACACTAGAGGATGTGGACCCGGAGAGTCTCGAGGCGAGACTGCTGCCACGGAAAATGCCAATGTAGTGAATTACATGACTGAATATAGCGAAACCTGCTGCTCGTGTCGATTCCCCTCCTCCTCAGTGCCTTGATTCTCTTGTCTACCCATCGCTCATCCTCCTATCTTGATCATTGGCCTGTTCTTGCTCGATGCCAGTTCATGCATGTCCCCCTGCCGTGCCATTTCAACCACCTCTTCCCTCCTCCCTCAAAAAATGCTCACGTTGCCGCCATGTTTCGCTGCTTTCCTCCAAACCGCAGCGTGAATGACGTCGAGAAGCTGCTCACGAGCATTAGGGGCAGGTAGTGAGAGGAGGAGACGAAGAGGAGAGGAGGGTAGAATGAAGGATACAAAGGAGGGAGGAAGAAAGGAGAAGCGAATGGTAGGGAAGGTCAAACGACGAGGAGGAGGGATGGAACAGGAAAGGAGGCTCCATACCTGATCATCGCCGTCGCCGCTGCGCATGCGATCCCTTAAAGAAACTTCCTCGTTGCCAAAGAGACAAACTTTGATGCTGCAAAGAATGATCAAATAGCGACAAGGGAACAAGGAGCGAGCAAAGGTACAGTACAGAGGTAGAGAGAAGGGGAACGAGGAGGGAAGAAGTAGAAGGGTGAAGGAGGAGGGGGATGAAGACGAGGAGGAGGAGGAGGAGGAGGAGGAGGAGGAGGAGGAGGAGGAGGAGGAGGAGGAGGAGGAGGAACCACCTCCGTCTGCAGTAATTC